GATTTTATTTCAATAAATGATACAATAGAACATGAATTTTGGTTATAAAATTTAAAATATTTGATATTTAATTAGAGTATTTTTTNAAGTTTAGTTTTATATTTTAATGATTTACAAAGTAAGCCATGATTAGAGAAAAAAAAATTAATAATTAGTCCATTATTGTACATGTAAGAAGGCAGATTGTATACTCACACCTAACAACTGTATAAAAGATAGTTTTTGGTTTTATTTCTTGAATTTATGCTCCTTTTTTTTTTTTGCTATANTGTGTTTTAACCATTTGACCACCTTCAGCAGTGCTTCCATATATTCTGTCATTTTTTTTCGGTTTCGGGATTGTTTCTCTCTGTTTTAACCATTTGACCAATGGGTTTGGAAGCTCCCTTAAACAGTCACCCGCTCTTTATTATGGGAATTTATTCACGGGCCCTCCTCCCCTAACCCACCACAGCCTGGCGAATCCGAACCTCAACTCGGGCCCACTTTCTTATCGCACCAAGATACGATTTACCCATCACAATCCTCCTTCCAATTTGTCCATTTTATGGGCCTGTGGATGTGCATGGACGGACCCAAGAGAGGGCCAATGGGGGCCATGGCTCCNTTCTCTGTCTTGTCCATTTTATAGGTTTTAGTCATTTTCTGTCTGGAGATTTATACTTATTCTTTGACACCTTATTTAGCACTAATTTCAGAGGCACCCAAAACCTTTAATAAAAAAAATCAATCAGATATTTCAAAGGATAAAAGTCAGATGGGTGTGATCGCCGCATATTTAACTTTTATTTTATTTTTTTAATAATTTTGAGAGAGATGTTGGTGATTGTTAGATGAGCTTATTTGAAATCGTTGAATAAATTTATTAATTGTATACTAATTACAATTTTTTAAGAAAATATTAAATTTTTATTTTTGATTTTATTTCAATAAATGATACAATAGAACATGAATTTTGGTTATAAAATTTAAAATATTTGATATTTAATTAGAGTATTTTTTGTTTATGTATAATATTTTAAACTTAAAAGGTCTAAATATTATATACTCACAAATTTTAGAGCGTTTAAGTGTAATTTATTAATATATATTTATAACAGGAGTTTAAGTGTTATGTGCATACAAATATCGAGAGATCTGTATATAATATTTTAAATATCAAGAGGTCTGAATAATTAAATAATAAACGTAAAGTAGTCTAAATATAATTCTCCTTATAGTTTATTAACAGAACATTGACGGTACCTTTGGATCTATATGTGCACGGTGTACCTGGGATTTACGTTACCATTTTTTGGCCACAAAACAAAAGGCTCATTAATTCGCCATTCGCCACTCCAACTGCCGACTGCAACGTCCCCTGATTTTCGGGCCACAAAACAAAANTCTGTTTTAACCATTTGACCAATGGGTTTGGAAGCTCCCTTAAACAGTCACCCGCTCTTTATTATGGGAATTTATTCACGGGCCCTCCTCCCCTAACCCACCACAGCCTGGCGAATCCGAACCTCAACTCGGGCCCACTTTCTTATCGCACCAAGATACGATTTACCCATCACAATCCTCCTTCCAATTTGTCCATTTTATGGGCCTGTGGATGTGCATGGACGGACCCAAGAGAGGGCCAATGGGGGCCATGGCTCCNATCTTTGAATATAGGGACATAATTTTAATTGTCTCAATAAATTTATAATCATAATTTTAATCTCTAATACCAATAAAAGTTAAAAATTATATCAAGATTCGTCTATTTTTGATTTCTCAAATATCAACTTTGGTCATTCCCTCTGAAATTATTCTTAAAAAAAAAAATTTAAGATCTAAAAAATATATAATATGACACGAAATAATAAGTTCAATAAGAAAAATATGAANTTGCCGCATATTTAACTTTTATTTAATTTTTTTAATAATTTTGAGAGAGATGTTGGTGATCGTTAAATGAGCTTATTTGAAACCGTTGAATAAATTTATTAATTGTATACTAATTACAATTTTTTAAGAAAATATTAAATTTTTATTTTTGATTTTATTTCAATAAATAATACAATAGAACATGAATTTTGGTTATAAAATTTAAAATATTTGATATTTAATTAGAGTATTTTTTGTTTATGTATAATATTTTAAACTTAAAAGGTCTAAATATTATATACTNTTAATTAGAGTATTTTTGGTTTATGTATAATATTTTAAACTTAAAAGGTCTAAATATTATATACTCATAAATTTCAGAGCGTTTAAGTGTAATTTATTAAGATATATTTTTAACAGGAGTTTAAGTGTTATGTGCATACAAATGTCGAAAGATCTGTATATAATATTTTAAATGTCAAGAGGTCTGAATAATTAAATAATAGACGTAAAATAGTCTAAATTTATTAACAGAACATTGACGGTACCTTTGGATCTATATGTGCACGATGTACCTGGGATTTACGTTACCATTTTTTGGCCACAAAACAAAAGGCTCATTAATTCGCCATTCGCCATTCGCCATTCGCCACTCCAACTGCCGACTGCAACGTCCCCTGATTTTCGGGCCACAAAACAAAAGGCTCATTAATTCGCCACTCCAACTGCAACGTCCCCTGATTTTCGGAGTCGTTACTTTATTAAATTAATCGAGCACATTAAATTACAAATATATGTGAATATAGGAACATAATTTTAATTGTCTCAATAAATTTATAATTATAATTTTAATCTCTAATACCAATAAAAGTTAAAAATTATATCAAGATTCGTCTATTTTTGATTCTTCAAATATCAACTTTGGTCATTCCCTCTGAAATTATTCTTAAAAAAAAAATTTAAAATCTAAAAAATATATAATATGACACGAAATAATAAGTTCAATAAGAAAAATATGAATGACCAAATACCAAATAATTCAATCAATAGACAATCATAGATAAAAGAATCAAAAATCCAATTCGATAAGTCACATAACTCAATTTCTATCAAATATACCCTCATATTTTATTTATCTTGGTGACATGACAAGTGACACTTGAATATTTAAATTTTATACTTATATCAAACTATTACACCGCACAGGATTGTAATCACAATCGTATTCCACATAGTTCATAATCACATTTCACCAATTATGTTCTAATAACTGTTCGTACATGTATCAATTAATCCTAAAATATTTAGCCAAATATACAGGTCAACAGATAAAATAAACAAAAATTCGTATCAATTAGAATAATTAATAAGAATTCAAATTTCAGATAATCAAATAACACTTTTTGTAACGAGATTTAAAAGATAGGAGTATATTGTATGCTANAGTTCGATAAATCACATAACTCAATTTCTATTAAATATACCCTCATATTTTATTTATCTTTGTGACATGACAAGTGACACTTGAATATTTAAATTTTATACTTATATCAAACTATTACACCGCACAAGATTGTAATCACAATCGCATTCCACATAGTTCATAATCACATTTCACCAATTATGTTCTAATAACTGTTCGTACATGTATCAATTAATCCTAAAATATTTAGCCAAATATACAGGTCAACAGATAAAATAAACAAAAATTCGTATCAATTAGAATAATTAATAAGAATTCAAATTTCAGATAATCAAATAACACTTTTTGTAACGAGATTTAAAAGATAGGAGTATATTGTATGCTATCTCGTACCTCAAATTCATTAATGGCTCCGATAAATATTAAATTTAAAATACTAACAATCAAATACTTAAATTTTAAAGTAAAATCATTGATCATTTTTTAACCCCAACGTCTCATAAAATTCTCTCTCTCTCTCTCTTCTCCTTGTTACCTGGTTCAGTTGGCCAGCACTTGGCTATTTATAGCCAAAGTTCCCCCGTCCCAACGTCAGTTAGTGACATATGGCATCACTATAGACAGTTGTCCATATCTTATTCATACATTTTTCTTTCCTTAATAGGCCAGGTGTTTAACGTGGGCAATGATTAATTTATATAGACGTCGACACACCGACTATCACAGAATCATTCAGTGTCGGCCGGTCAGCGACTTAACTCTCTTTCNCCGGTTCAGTTGGCCAGCACTTGGCTATTTATAGCCAAAGTTCCCCCGTCCCAACGTCAGTTAGTCATCACTATAGACAGTTGTCCATATCTTCTTCATACATTTTTCTTTCCTTAATAGGCCAGGTGTTTAACGTGGGCAATGATTAATNCATAAAAGTGGTAATTTAATTGGGTGGTTTGACTCTTCCAAGGCTCCAATATTTTGTTTTACATTATTTTAGCTACAATTATATTTAATTTACTCTAGAGAGGCACAGATGCACTTGGATTCTATTTTTCTAGAGATGCAATTATTATAATTACATTATTGTTATATTTAAATTACTTATTTATTAAATAAATATTTTAAGTATTGTTTTTTAAAATTATAACTTTAATGTAATAATTAGATACATTAATATTTTATAATAATAAATGAATGAATATAAGTTCTATTTTTTTTATTTATAAAAAAATATGTTATATTTCAAATTATATAAAATTAAATGTTACAATTACATGTTTTTTTATATTTAAACTATTTCAATCAATTGCATGTTACTTATTTAATTATTTGGAATTTGTGACATTGTAGAATAACTCCTAAACAACACGACATTGGTTGGGATCACACAAAACCTGTTGGTGGTGATCGACGAATAACAAAGTGCAATTATTGTGGTAAAATAGTTCATGATGACATTACTCGAATGAAACAACATATTGCACGTATATCCGGTCAGGTGGAAGGATGTCCACATGCACCAAAAAAAGTGTCACAATTCTTGAGACAACATCTCAATGATTGTAGTAAAGAAAGGGTTTCTATAAAAAAGAAAAAAAAACGAATTATACAATCATTACGAGATGAAGATTTTTATAACCTAGATGATGATGATGATGGTGAGAATCAAATTGAAGAGGGTGATTTTGAAAGACGACAGTCAAAGCATGCAATGAAGGAAAGTCGTCAAATGGCGTGGATGGACGAAAAGGGTCGTAGACACTTTGTATCACAACCAGCAGGCTCAGGAATCAAGTGCGGACCGCCACGTAGCTATAGCGTAAAAGAAGGTGCCAGCATGCCAGTTCATGGTNTTTTTACATTATATTAGTTACAATTATATTATGTGTTTATATATTTATATTTGTCTTAAAAATAACATGTGCAACTGGTTCGACTCCTCTCCAACATGTTGTTTTATTAGTTACAATAACATTATGTGTTTATATATTTATATTTGTCTTAAAAGTAGCATAAAAGTGGTAATTTAATTGGGTGGTTTGACTCTTCCAAGGCTCCAATATTTTGTTTTACATTATTTTAGCTACAATTATATTTAATTTACTCTAGAGAGGCACAGATGCACTTGGATTCTATTTTTCTAGAGATGCAATTATTATAATTACATTATTGTTATATTTAANATACGACAGTGAAAAAATTCACCCATATCTGCGAAAAAGAGCAAAATCCCCCCATATTTGCGAAAAAGTCTAACACCCGTGTCACCCACACCTCTGTAAAAGTTTAAAATTATCAATCATTTTTCTGAAAATTGAACAAAAATCCAAAAAAAAAAAAAAAGGAGATGGGAAATAAAGTAGACCAGCAGACCCACTATCAGTAAACCCATGTGAAAATTTCTGAAATCACATGAATCTTGAAGTAACAAACCCCTATAAAAACTAAGAATATTAAGGATTCGAGTTATTCGACATACCTGTATTGTTCTTCTTCTTCATCTGGTCTTGTATTGTTCGATTCTTTGTTGAGACGATCTTGTTCGAATTTTTGTTGAGACAATCTTCTTCGGTCTCTGTTAGTGAGGGATTGTGGTCGTCTCTCCGTTTGCACCTTTCTTTCTCTTTCTGTTGTTGTGACTAAGAAATGAGAAGTGAAATCGTCTGAAGAGCTCTGAACCGAAGAGGTAAAGTGGGTAGAGAAAGAAATTAAAAACTCTTTTAAAAGTTGTTTGTTTTTTTTTTTTGGAACTGAGTGTTTATATATTTAAATTTGTGTTAAAGGTAAAATAAAAGTGGTAGTTCAATTGGGTGGAGTTGCTAAGTACTTAGGTGCAGGTCACTGGTTCGACTCCTCCAAGGCTCCAACATGCTGTTTTACATTATATTTTTTACATTATATTAGTTACAATTATATTATGTGTTTATATATTTATATTTGTCTTAAAAATAACATGTGCAACTGGTTCGACTCCTCTCCAACATGTTGTTTTATTAGTTACAATAACATTATGTGTTTATATATTTATATTTGTCTTAAAAGTAGCATAAAAGTGGTAATTTAATTGGGTGGTTTGACTCTTCCAAGGCTCCAATATTTTGTTTTACATTATTTTAGCTACAATTATATTTAATTTACTCTAGAGAGGCACAGATGCACTTGGATTCTATTTTTCTAGAGATGCAATTATTATAATTACATTATTGTTATATTTAAATTACTTATTTATTAAATAAATATTTTAAGTATTGTTTTTTAAAATTATAACTTTAATGTAATAATTAGATACATTAATATTTTATAATAATAAATGAATGAATATAAGTTCTATTTTTTTTATTTATAAAAAAATATGTTATATTTCAAATTATATAAAATTAAATGTTACAATTACATGTTTTTTTATATTTAAACTATTTCAATCAATTGCATGTTACTTATTTAATTATTTGGAATTTGTGACATTGTAGAATAACTCCTAAACAACACGACATTGGTTGGGATCACACAAAACCTGTTGGTGGTGATCGACGAATAACAAAGTGCAATTATTGTGGTAAAATAGTTCATGATGACATTACTCGAATGAAACAACATATTGCACGTATATCCGGTCAGGTGGAAGGATGTCCACATGCACCAAAAAAAGTGTCACAATTCTTGAGACAACATCTCAATGATTGTAGTAAAGAAAGGGTTTCTATAAAAAAGAAAAAAAAACGAATTATACAATCATTACGAGATGAAGATTTTTATAACCTAGATGATGATGATGATGGTGAGAATCAAATTGAAGAGGGTGATTTTGAAAGACGACAGTCAAAGCATGCAATGAAGGGGAGTCGTCAAATGGCGTGGATGGACGAAAAGGGTCGTAGACACTTTGTATCACAACCATCAGGCTCAAGAATCAAGCGCGGACCGCCACGTAGCTATAGCGTAAAAGAAGGTGCCAGCATGCCAGTTCATGGTAGCATTGATCCGTATATGTTTCCGTCTAAACAAAAGTCAGTAAAAGGCATGTTCTCAGGTGAGAACTTGAAAAAGTTGGGAAAAGCTATTTTGAAGTTCTTCCTCTTCAATGCAATACCATTCAATGCAACTGATAGTGGCCCTTACTATTAGTCAATGATTGACACTATTGCGAATGCTAGCCCAGGAATAAAAGGTCCCACAGGATATCAAATTGGTAGTTCTTATTTGGAGGAGGAGGAGGTTCAAGAGCTTGACGTGTATATATCCTCGATGAAGGTAAAATGGCCTCAGTATGGTTGCACAATCATGTCTGATGGGTGGAGTTCTAGAACAAAGAAACTCATTATCAATTTCATGATTTATTGTGACCGTAGTATGATTTACCATACTTTAGTTGATACCACAAATATTTTAAAAACTGCTGACTATATTTTCTTTCTAATGGATAAAGTTGTTGATGAAGTTGGAGAAGAAAATGTANTTAAAAACTGCTAACTATATTTTCTTTCTAATGGATAAAGTTGTTGATGAAGTTGGAGAAGAAAATGTAGTACATATAGTAACCGATAATGAGACAAGCTTTAAAGCAGCTGGTAAGATGTTGATGGATAAAATGAAACATCTATTTTGGTCTCCTTGTGCAGCCCATTGTATCGATTTGATGCTAGAAGATATTGGTTATATGAAAGCAATCAAGGAGATCATAGATGATGGTAAAACGATCACATCCTTTATCTACAACAGCCTCAAAGTGGTTAATTTAATGAAACAACATACTAGAGACAGAGATTTATTGAGGTCAGGTATAACATGATTTGCCACTGAATTCATCAAATGAATCGGACTTGAAAAGAATGTGCACCATTGATGAATGGCGTGAATTCAACAAAGACAAGAAAAGGAGAAAAACAAGAGATATAGTCTCAAACCTGATGTTGACTGACCAATTTTGGAAGAAGGCTAGAGAAGTTCAATCCGTCATGGAGCCTCTTGTTAGGATCTTAAAGATAGTTGATCAAGACAAAAAATTGACTTTATCAATTGTCTATAAGGTAATGGACAGAGTTAAACTAGCTATACAACATTCGGTCAAAAATTGGAGAAAGTACTGGGCCGTGATTGACAAGCCCAATTGCACAGACACTTGCATGTAGCAGGTTGTGTATTAGCTTGTAAAATATTATAGTTTTCCACAAACTTACATTAAATTGTCAAAAAATTTACAACTTATTTCTTAAATCCAGTTTTTCAGTATTCTAATCAATTTTTCGACTATTCTGAGGTAAGATCTGGTTTGAAAGAGGTTATTAAAAGATTAGAATCAGATTTAAATAAACAAGCAAGGGCAATGAATGAGGTATGACGATTTTTGATAATATTTATTATAATATGTATATGTATTGGTCGCATACGTAATGCATTATACAATAAATTGCAGATCAAATTATATACTGACAAATATGGGGAGTTTGGAAATGCACTCACTAGAAAAGTTGTACATGCCTCTCTTCCAGGTTTATTATTTAAAATATATGTATTTATTAAAATATTATTTGTTACTCTTATGGACAAATACTAATATTGTACATTTTTTTTTGTAACTGAATGGTGGATCAATTATGGTGAAGAAGCTCCCCATCTATAAAAAATTGCAATCAAAGTCTTAAGTCAAACATGTTCATCATCAGGGTGTGAAAGAAATTGGAGTACATGGTCGTTGATCCATACAAAACTTCGCAACCGACTAGCAATGAAAAAGCTACATAAGCTAGTTTTTGTGCACTATAATATGTGGTTGTGAGGTAGAAATTTGACGTATCAGCGTGAAAATGATGATTTTTATAATCCAATTGATCCGAACTACATTTTTAATGATGAGGACATATTAGATGAGTGGATAAGAGAGGGGGAGGAACCAATTTTACCACCTGATAACTTAGGTTGGCTGGATGAAGGTATTCGNAGTTTTTGTGCACTATAATATGTGGTTGTGAGGTAGAAATTTGACGTATCAGCGTGAAAATGATAATTTTTATAATCCAATTGATCCGAACTACATTTTTAATGATGAGGACATATTAGATGAGTGGATAAGAGAGGGGGAGGAACCAATTTTACCACCTGATAACTTAGGTTGGCTGGATGAAGGTATTCGTGACATTGAAGAAGGTGGAAGTGGAAGAGATGCAATTGATGAATGTGACACTAATACGACTCCAACATCTAGCAATTATGCCACTACGAGAAAATCTGGAAAAGACACAAGGTCAGCTAATAAGGGTAAAAAGGCTATGAGAATTTGTCAGTTCTAGTGATTCTTCTTCTTCTTCTTCTTCTGATGATGTTGTTGATACTTATGGTGGTGGTGGTGATGGTGGTGGTAGTATTACTGATGATGATGATGCTAGTAATCATGGTGGAGATAATAATGAGGACAGCAAGAGTGGTGGTAGAAGGACTACNTTCTTCTGATGTTGTTGATACTTATGGTGGTGGTGGTGATGGTGGTGGTAGTATTACTGATGNTGATGATGTTGTTGATACTTATGGTGGTGGTGGTGATGGTGGTGGTAGTATTACTGATGATGATGATGCTAGTAATCATGGTGGAGATAATAATGAGGACAGCAAGAGTGGTGGTAGAAGGACTACTGGAGATGGTGGTGATACTCAGCTAGTTGACAGTATGTCATGGGCACAGGGTCAAGACAATTATTATGCCACACAGGATACAGACCATGAATATCGACCAGGGGCAATGAAATAACGGAGGAATTTAAACTCTTCCATTGGTGATGATTATTCCAATAGATGTCACCATCATTCACTTGGTCGGCAAGATATTGATGATCATATGCAGAATTTGGGATTGACATCAGATGAAGGATACATGTCTTATGGACATCATCAAAGTAGTGGTATAGAATCTAGCTATGCACATGGATCATATGGATATGGTATCCCTTCGCAGCTTCCGAGATCTACTAGTACTCATAGTGCTGGGCATTATGGTCATCGCCCTACGCATCTTGAGAGATCTACTAGTACTAGTACTGGTGGCTACTATGATCGTGTTCCAAGGAGACATCATGATAGATTTTCTAACACGACATTAGATAGTGTCAACTTTTATGGATATGATCAATCTTCTGCTAGCAGTGGCCGTGAATATCGTTGTTTTGGATATNTAGATTTTCTAACACGACATCAGATAGTGTCAACTTTTATGGATATGATCAATCTTCTGCTAGCAGTGGCCGTGAATATCGTTGTTTTGGATATTATCAGCATGGGAACCAGTCAATACAACCTCCACAGTCACACTACTCTGATTATGAGTCATCTAGTCAATCAACTCAACCAACTCAATCAGACCCGTATTTATACTTGTACTCTTATCCTTATGGTGGACAGTATCCTAATTTGTATTCTCCCAGAGACAATAACGACGATTTTGAGACTCATCGTCGTTCAATGTGGCAATGATTATGACTCAATATGTTCCTAAATGCCTACATTAAATATTGATAATGATAATTATTTTCGGTACCAATTTTATGTTTCATTTTAATTATGTTTAATGTGTTTTTGGATGTATTGTAGACATATGAAGCATGAATAAAGATGTCTATATTTTTAGAATTTTTTATAATTTTTTCAAATTTTTTTGGAGCTTCAATCTTGTGTTTTGAGCGTATCGGCCGATACTGCACCGCGACACCGCACCCGATGTGTATCAGCACCCTTCGAGTCGATGACCGATACCGCGACTTTGAACCATGAGCCTTAGATCTACATACACACACACACACAAACACAAACATGACCCCTCCCTCCCC